ATGGCGTCAGTACGGTATACCTGTGGACACGTTTATGACGGTGTCGGTATACCTGTGGACACGTTTATGAAGCTGTCAGTACGGTATATCTGTGGACACGTTTATGAAGCTGTCAGTACGGTATATCTGTGGACATGTTTATGAAGCTGTCAGTACGGTATATCTGTGGACACGTTTATGAAGCTGTCAGTACGGTATATCTGTGGACATGTTTATGACGGTGTCGGTATATCTGTGGACATGTTTATGACGGTGTCAGTACGGTATATCTGTGGACATGTTTATGACGGTGTCGGTATACCTGTGGACACGTTTATGAAGCTGTCAGTACGGTATATCTGTGGACATGTTTATGACGGTGTCAGTACGGTATATCTGTGGACATGTATCTGATGTCGGAAATGATAGATTTTGGGGTGGACCATTTATGCAAATTGCCCACCAATGGGTACTCAAACGAAAAAAAAAAAAAGTACAGAAGCTACTGGTTTATAATAAACAAAGCTTTATGTAACAAAGTCATTCGGTTCGCGTTTACATCTACATTACAATTAAAATGCGCTTTGCGTCGTAGCGTTGGGCTGTTACTTTGCTCGATAGAAGCATCATTTCCTTGGCAGGGACTCTGACAAAGCCAGATGTTTACCTACAAGAGTTGTCTATGGTACCCCTGAGTGGCTGGCCATGCTGGGAGGGCGATCTTCAGCAGAAACTCAATCCGCTAAGACTACTGCAAATATTTGTCCTGCTTCTCTGAAGTGCTCAGTCGGACCTGACTTGATGTTTATTGCCAGTCTGAAGTCTGCAGTAAAGCTGCCAACATCTTCAGAGTCTGAGTCTGCCCTTCTACGTCTGCCCCCTTCTACGTCTGCCCCCTTCTACGCCTGCCCCCTTCTACGCCTGCCCCCTTCTACGCCTGCCCCCTTCTACGCCTGCCCCCTTCTACGCCTGCCCCCTTCTACGCCTGCCCCCTTCTACGCCTGCCCCCTTCTACGCCTGCCCCCTTCTACGTCTGCCCCCTTCTACCCAACGTGGATTTACAGAGGCGCCAGCTCCCGGACTGCTCGCTAGGTCCAAAGATGTTAAGCTGAAGTCGCTGCCCTAGAACGACTGTGCAGCCCGGGAGTCACAAAGGACGACCCTGCAATCCAAAGCTTCGCTCACAGGTATTCTGCTAGGCTGCTGTTGATTCAGCGGAGCTGTAAGTGATCTCTCATGAAAGAAGAGTTATTAGTGGACAATATTGATCGAAGCAACTGTAACAAAACACTTAGAAGGGGGCGGGGGGGGGGGGAGAAGAGCACATGTGCCAGCGTACAGCAAGACGTAGCACTGGGGACTGCTGTGCGCTTCCTGTGCTTTTCACAGATCCTAAGGGAAACGCATCATTTTCTCAAGCATTCTTGAGAACCATTAAACCGAGAATCCAGCCTCTAATCTGAGCCCAGACTACACAGACGAGGGAGGACTGAATGTACACCGATCATCGCAGGGATGATGTCACGAGGCACTTATGTTTGTTGTGTACGGATTTCATACTAAAATAGTCATTTTCAAACCGTCACTAAAAATCTACAGTGCCTGACCTGACAAATGTGCTTCTGGAGGAATGGTCCAACCTTCCCATAGACACCCTCCTAAACCTTGTGGACGGCCTTCCCAGAAGAGTTGAAGCGGTTATAGCTGCAAAGGGCGGGGCCAACTCAATATTGAACTCTACGGACTAAGACTGGGGGGGCCATTAAAGGTCGTGTGCGTGGAAAGGGCGGGGCCAACTCAATACTGAACCCTATGGACTAAGACTGGGGGGCCATTAAAGGTCATGTGTGTGGAAAGGGCGGGGCCAACTCAATATTGAACCCTACGGACTAAGACCGGGAGGGCCATTAAAGGTCATGTGTGTGGAGAAGCCGGAATATAGTGTGTGTGTGTGTGTGTGTGTGTATGTGTATATGTATATGTATGTGTATATGTATATGTATATGTATATGTATATATATATATATATATATATATATATATATATATTATATATATTATCAATATATATATACATATACACACACACATATATACACACACACACCAGTATATAGATATATAAATATATATAGATATATCATACACACACACACACACACCATGTAAATATATTACACACACACACACACACACACACACACACACACATATATATATATATATACTGTATATATAGTGTGTATATGTGTATATATCAGAGCTGTGGAGTCGGCAGATAAATGTTCCGACTCCTCAGTTTTTGTGTACCTCCGACTCCGACTCCCCAACTCCGACTCCTCTGTATTAATATGCGAATGTATTTTATACATTCCTTGAAGGAAAGAAAGGCCATGCGTGCCATATAGTGAAGCACATGAAAAGCATGCTTCTTCACGGTCACTTAACGTGTTCGTTTTGCAGTTACGTGAGGCACTGCATGCATTGGTCGTTATTCTTACAGTAGAGAAGTCATTAATTATAAAACTTTTTGTGAATTGGGACATTTAAACTTGCTTTTTATTTTTAATTCCAATCTAAATTTAATCTGAGTCGGAGCATTGTTTGCCGACTCCGACTCCAGGTACCCAAAATTCCTCCGACTCCACAGCCCTGGTATATATATATATATATATAAATATACACATACATATACACAACACACACACACACACATACATATACACACACACATACATATACATACACACACACACTACATATATATATATATATACACACACACACACACATACATACATATACATACATAATATATATACACACACACATATATATAACACACAACACACACATACATATACATACACACATACATATACACACACACATACATATACATACACACACACACACACACATACACACACACACACACACACATATACATATACATACACACACACACACACACACACATATACATACACACACACACACACACACACACACATATACACACACACACACACACACATATACATACACACACACACACACACACACATATACATACACACACACACACACACACATACATACACACACACACACACACACACACATACACACACACACATATACATACACACACACACACACACACACTATCTGGAATAATAACTACCTACATTTGCCCTCTTGCAGATCCTGTACACCAAAGCTCAGACTGGGAGAGGGGGAAGCAGCACAAGGAACACAATAATAGAGAGGTGAGCCCTACTGCTGTGCTGCTTCTCCTACAGTCACAGGTTGGGGGTGGGTCCATGACAACCTGGCCTCAAGAGGAAGTGGGTCGAATGAGGTTGTCTGTCTTCCAACCAGGAAGACTGAGGACATCTAGTGGTGGAAAAATACTATGAGGAACAGGATTGAAGTATTGCAGCTAAATTTGCATTTTGTTTCCCCCCATCTTTCTTTGGCTGGCATTCAACTTTACCAACAGCTGAGATAGGGGGATCGGCCACAAAGGGAGTGCATGATTTTAGATAGTAAGCTCCCAGGATCAGGGCCCTCCTAACCCTCATGTATTAAACTGTATTGTTTGTGACTGGAGTGACTTTGGGTGGGGGGCCCATGGAACACAGCTCACTTTGGAGAGGTGGGGAGACCCCTGTCTCAGCTCCCCATATCTCTATTATGTGTAAGTCACCCTGTGTCTCTTAGGGGCACAGGGTGACTAATGGACGCTGAGAATGCAGTTGGAATTACTTCAGCTGTGACAGTAATATTTATCAGCTATATGAAGACTATTCCTGGTTGTTGATTCTGAACTAGACATGTGAATTGAAGGAGCCGGACCGTCTGCTCTTTAGTGAGATCCTAATTCATCCAACCATTGTCTAGGTGTGAATTTCCATTCACCTTTTGTTTAGATCACCCAGCTAGCCTAATTGACTGTTGAGAGTATTAAATCTTTTTCTTTATATAGCTGCCTTTGCATATGATCATGTGACTGCATCCCATTGTTCTATTGTGTGTCTTGCTTGGGAGCAAACTATAATGGGATGTACCGTATTTTTCGCCGTATAAGACGCACTTTTTCTTCCCCAAAACTGGGGGGGGAAATGTCAGTGCGTCTTATAGAGCGAATATGGAGCGGCCGGTCCGGTATTTCCACCGCGGCCCGTGTCAGAATACCGGGCCGGCCACTCAGCTCTGCAGCGGGACCTTACCTGTTCCTCTATCCAGCGGCGTGCTGTCTTCCCGGCTTCTGTAGTGTGGGCGCTGGGCATGACAGCCGGGTGCCAAGTGCGCATGCGCAAGAAGCGGTGCTTTTTGTGAATGGTAAGGCGGTACCTGGGACACATGACAGATCCCAGAAGCCGCCGGACCAATCACAAAGCGCAAGTGCTTCTCGCTCATGTGCACTGGGCACCCGGCTGTCATGCCGAGCGCCATTACAGAAGCAGGGAAGACAGCGCGCGGCTGGATCGAGGAACAGGTAAGATCAAACAAAAACTTTTGTAAGTAAGAGCGGGTACCTGTCAAATTCAGGTACCCGCTCCCCACCTCCCCAAAGGTCAGCAGTCATCTGTGCTGTCCGCAGTCTCTGGTCATCCCTGTGCTGTCCGCAGTCTCTGGTCATCCCTGTGCTGTCCGCAGTCTCTGGTCATCCCTGTGCTGTCCGCAGTCTCTGGTCATCCCTGTGCTGTCCGCAGTCTCTGGTCATCCCTGTGCTGTCCGCAGTCTCTGGTCATCCCTGTGCTGTCCGCAGTCTCTGGTCATCTCCTGTACTATGTCTGCAGTCCATTAGTTCAGAATTTTTTTTTCCTGTTTTCTGCCTCTAAAACCTAGGTGCGTCTTATGGTCAGGTGCGTCTTATACGGCGAAAAATACGGTATGTGTTTATGTGTAATGGCTTGGTGGGGGGTGTCTGCTGATGTGTTTCTTGTTGCTAGATTTGGTTTGCCCCGCCCCGTGTCCATATGCAGGGAGGGGGGTTGTTCCCTTGAATGTATATATCTTGTGTCTGTGTTAAAATAGTCTATTTCCCGGTTTCATTCAAGAGTGGTGTCCGTGGATCTGTGTTCGGACAGGGAAGCGGGAGTCTAACGGAAAATACCCAAGTGCAGTCGGGGGTCCGGTTCCGTTACATTGTTGCTGTATTGTCTCCCATTATATTGTAAAGCGCTGAGCAAACTTGGCGCTCCATAAATCCTGTATCATAATAATAATTTTGAATGCCTCAGCAATCTCAAGGACTTGTCCCGTGAAAACGAGCAGAATAGGACAACCACTGTGCAGCCGTCAAAGCAAGAAGAAGAGCCCGAGCATCTCCGCAAGCATTAAAACAAAATTGATAAAATTTATCTACATCAAGAGGACTATGTTTAGTATATCTAAAATAATAACCGAAAAGACGATACATTCCCTTTAAGCGGCTCGAGGAAAAGTCTTTGTGCCGCTAGTATACAGGCCCTTTGAAGAGAGGAGAATGCGGAACTTGAGAGACAGCTCAGACCATGAAAGGAGACAAGATAACGGCCTAACCTGACACACCAGCAGCGGCGAGCCTTCTGTCTCCTGGAGCACAGAGGATATTTAGACTGAAGCCACAGCCTGTATCTTTTGTTTCAGGTCCATAAATCCGACCCAGATTTCTGTAAGCAAGACGTCTCTGGCTCCCTAAAGGTTTTTAGTGCCGAGCATTGTGCCGGGGAAAAGAGCATGGCGGAGGAACTCATTGATTTAAATTAGACAATTTAGTCCGTGACATTGGCGATGAAAAATATGCTCTTCCTTCGGCGAGGAGACTGGGAGGAATTGCTCTTTAGATGTTAAATCAAATTTTGCAATTTTTCTGGCAAATGAGGCATGCGAGCACATTATCAAAATCATGGCTTCCAAAATTAATCTGCCACTGAATAATTTATCATGCCAGTGATCTTATTGTAAATAAGCCGCAGGGAAAGGATCACGTGACCTTTGGATCAACGTTTTATTGGCCAATATCCTCGGCAATAAAGCACTCGCTGATCACACTGTATGAAAGACAGGCAATCATTAATAGGAGGGGAAAAAAAAAAAAGAAGACAGTCATTCGTTACAAAAATATTTATCTGCTTCCTGCTGTCGGAGACGTCATCTTTGGAAGTTCAGTCGGAGTAAAAACGTGGAAGAAGCGATCGCCTGCTAATTGTATAAAAAAGGTCAAAGTTCAAATTAGAATTTCTTTGGACTTGATGATTAAAGTCAGACTGCTGAAAAGTAATAAATCTTTCGGTGCAGAAGAGAGAAAATACAAAAATATGTAAACAGAAGGCCGACAATGTTCAAAGTTTACACACAAGGATGGTCACTCATCACGGTACAACTTCTGCTCAGGTGAGTTTGAGCCCGGGTTCACACTGATGCGGTGCGGCATATCGCATGTGATATAGGAACTGGCCGCATTCCGGTGCAAGTGTACAATCCAAACATAGGAACTGCGCCGCATTCCGGTGCAAGTGTACAATCCAAACATAGGAACTGCGCCGCATTCCGGTGCAAGTGTACAATCCAAACATAGGAACTGCGCCGCATTCCGGTGCAAGTGTACAATCCAAACATAGGAACTGCGCCGCATTCCGGTGCAAGTGTACAATCCAAACATAGGAACTGCGCCGCATTCCGGTGCAAGTGTACAATCCAAACATAGGAACTGCGCCGCATTCCGGTGCAAGTGTACAATCCAAACATAGGAACTGCGCCGCATTCCAGTGCAAGTGTACAATCCAAACGCACGCGTTCCTGCGTTAAAAACGACGGTGTGTATAAAGTGGGCGACGCAGCGACCGTCGGCTGGAACCGAACAGAATCGGCGAGGGAGAATGTCACCAGCACACCGAGGATCACCAATAAGGGTCCAAAAGTTTGCAGAATCGAATCGCATAGGTGTGAATACCCATGCGATCCGATTCTAGTGCAGACCCAAAAAAAAAGGGTCCTGCACCTTTTTGGTGCAAATGTATGGCTCAAATCGCACACCACACATAATTTGCATGTGATTTGCACAGGAATGTGGTGCGGTTCCTGTGCAAATCACATGCGATATGCCGCACCGCATCAGTGTGAACCCGGGCTGAGGGCTATTTTACTGATGCGCTGTGTGCCTCAATAGAAACACACAGCCCCGTAGCCTAAGAGGGCAAGGCTCCTGCTCCTCCCACCTCCAGGCATGTGACATCTCACAGGACCCCTTCTTTAGGCATGTCACACATGCCTGATGAAGGGGTCCTGCGAGTCTCCGAAACGTTGCCTTGCTATAACTATGTGATCGTTCAGTTTTTGGATCCATATTGGTGATCCTTGGCGTGCTGGTTACATTCTCCCTTGCATTCCTGTGCAAATCACATGCGAATTGTGTGCGGTGCGATTTGAGCCGTACATTTTGTATGGCTCAGCCCGAGTTCACACTGATGCCGTGCGGCATATCGCATGTCAGTCGCACAGGAACCGCACCGCATTCCTGTGCAAGTGTACAATCTAAACGCACACGTTCCTGCGTTTTTAAAAATGGCGGTGTTGTGTGTATATGTGGGTTCTGCAGCAACAGTCGACTGGAACCAAACAGAATCAGCGAGGGGAGAATGTCACCAGCACACCAAGGATCACCAATACGGGTCCAAAAGTTTTAATGAACGATCACATAGTTACAGCAAGGCGACATTTCGGAGTCTCGCAGGACCCCTTCATCGGGCACGCGCGACCACATCACTTCATCGGGCACACGACCACATCCCTTCATCGGGCACACGACCACATCCCTTCATCGGGCACACGACCACACATCCCTTCATCAGGCATGTGACCTCTCGCAGGACCCCTTCATCAGGCATGTGACCTCTTGCAGGACCCCTTCATCAGGCATGTGACCTCTCGCAGGACCCCTTCATCAGGCATGTGACCTCTCGCAGGACCCCTTCATCAGGCATGCGACCACATCCCTTCATCAGGCATGCGACCACATCCCTTCATCAGGCATTGCGACCACATCCCTTCATCAGGCATGCGACCACATCCCTTCATCAGGCATGCGACCACATCCCTTCATCAGGCATGCGACCACATCCCTTCATCAGGCATGTGACCTCTCGCAGGACCCCTTCATCAGGCATGTGACCAAATCACTTCATCAGGCATGTGACCTCTCACAGGATCCCTTCCTCAGGTATGTGACGCATGCCTGATGAAGGGGTCCTGCGAGACTCCGAAACGTTGTCTTGCTGTAACTATGTGATCGTTCATTTTTTGGACCCGTATTGGTGATCCTCGGCGTCCTGGTGGCATTTTCCCTTGCATTTCTGTGCAAATCACATGCGAATTGTGTGCGGTGCGATTTGAGCCATACATTTGGTATGGCTCGGCCTGGGTTCACCCTGATGCGGTGCGGAATTCTCAGCGGTTTCTGTGCAAATTCCACACCGCACCCCGTTCACGCGAACCGCTGCGGGTGTGTATGTTAACATCACTCCGAAATCGGTCTGCAAAACGTGGTGCGAAGTGCAGAATCGGATCCCAGATGTGTAAATAACCATGTGATCCGATTTTAGTGCGGACCAAAAAAAAAGGGTCCTGCACCTTTTTGGTGCAGATGCGGTGCGATTGGAGCCATACAAAATGTATGGCTCGAATCGCACCGCACACAAATGTGATTTGCTCAGGAATGTGGTGCGGTTCCTGCACGAATCGCATGCAATATGCCACAACAAGTCAGTGTGAACCCGGGCTGAGGGCTATTTTACTGATGCACTGTGAGCATCAATAGAAAACACACAGCCCCGTAGCCTTAGAGAGCAAGGCTCCTGGTCCTCCCACCTCCACTGCGTCCCCACCCTTGTGACTGCTGGTGACAACCAATCACCGATGAGACCTCCCCATTTATCATAAACCCTTCCCCCAGCGTCATCAGAAACCCTCTTAAATGGGCTGGTAGGCCTGCTGTCCGTAAGCGGTTTATACAAATCTAGTTTTACTAGGCAAGAGTCACCTATTTATCGTGCTCAACTAGGTTAAAGCCGAGGACCCCAACTCCCCCGAGGGACCACATGAGTCTGAGTCTCCGTGGCCTGCTAGGGGGCAGGGTGTGCGAAGCCACCCAACCTGCACTGCCACCCTCCAACCACCAGAGGGGGAGAGTCCTGCTCTGCACCACTACTCCCTACACCCCTCTCTATGGTCATGTTGGCTGGACACACAGGAAAGAAGAGAGCGAAAAGAGAGAGAGAAAGGGCCAGGAAAAAGAGATGGAGAAAAAAGAAAGGAAGATGTAGGGGAAGGGAAAAGAGGAGAAAGGGGAGGGGACGTAGAGAGGAGAAAGGGTCGAGGGGAGGAGATGAAAGGAAGAAGAAAGGGGAGGAGTAGAGGAGAAAGGCCTCTCACCTTGGAAGGCAGGAATGACACAGGAGAAGAAAGAGGTAGGAGAGGAGATCCCCCGGGATCGAGGAGAGGGAGAAGAAAGGAGAGAGAACAATGGTAGGGGAGGAGAAGAAAGGGGAGGGGGGATGAAAAGAAAGGGAAGAAAGCGTGAGTGGAGGAGAGAACGTGAGAAGGGGATGGCGAGGAGAAGAACAAGGGGGAGGGAGATGATCGAAGAAAGGAGAGAAAGGGGCAGGGGCTCCCTCTGGATTAATAGGAGAAGAAAGGGCGAGGGCGGGAGACGAACAGGAGAAGGTAAGGGGTGAGAGGAGAATGACAGGAAGACGAAAGGAGGAGGAGAGCGCAGAACAGAGGATGGGGAGGAGACAAGGGAGTAGGGAGGAGCCGAGACAAGGGTGGAGAAAGAGAAAGGGGAGGAGAGCGAGAAAGAAAGGAGAGGAGAAGGAGAAAGGGGGAGGGGAGAGGGAGAGAAAAAAAAAAAAGGGAGAGGAGGGGAGGAGAGGTAGATAGGGGAGAGGAGCGGAGGAGAAAAGGTGAGGGGAGGCGAGACCAAGGGTGCGGGAGTTCGAGCGTTCCGGAGATAGTGAGAGGCGGCCTCGGCCCCTGAGAGCGTGAAAGCCGGTGAGCTGCGCCCCCGAGGCAGGAGAGCGTAAGAAAGCGTCTACCCGT